ATGAATTTTGATCCGCTATCCACCCAAAGACCAGCTAGTGGAGTTTTCCGGGGTTGTCCCTTTCTCCAAATTTGTTCATTTCTGTCATTGGCATTATCACGTGGTGCGCGCTTTGAGGGACTGCAAATGCGAGTGTGGACGTAACCACTGTGTGGAAACCAACCACCCCTAATAACCGATCAGCGGGTCAAATTGATGAAAGTAACGAGCGGGCTACAGACAAAATAAGGCACGCCCTGATTGGTCAGAATCCCAGCCAATCTGGATCGAGCAGCTTTAACCCGACGCTTCTCGCCCCCTTACGGGAATTCTAGCACGACCTTGTGGGACACACAATAGATACATCTGTAATAATCTTCCGCTGCCTCCACGAGAAATTGTTTACGAGGTTGTGGTAATAACATCATTCATGAAGGGCTGCCTGGAGCTACCGTCGCTTTTGATATAACATAGTGGGAGGGGCAGGAAGCCAAGAGGCCAATACAGGGTTGCACGACCGTCCGGTAGGTCACAACACCCCCGGAAGATGGTTGATAGTCTTGGTTTATGGCGACACATCGTTGTGTTGTTTGACAACTGTTCGCCCGTGAATGTATTCCAGACAGGATATCGGCGTTAATCCCATGATTCAGCGTGTGCCGCTTGCCTTCAAGTTACAAGGTATTGCTTCAGGATTTCGTATCCTTTGTGACTCCGTGATTGAAGTCCAACTGAATCCCATAGGATCTTCGCATGTTCTTGGTGGGGTTCTAAATAATCCCTCTTCCAAGTGACTGTACCCCTAAATGGCTGTCTATATAGCGCTTGCAGGTCGTGGCATTCAGCGCTGCACATACCAGCATTACCTAACCACGTTGGCTAGACTAAATTTGCCAGTCGTTCCCTCCGCTTATAACGGGTGAGCTCTCAAAGGACTCTTGGCCCATCCTCTTGATAGCACCTTAATTCTACGTGACGTTCGGATATGCTTACTTAAGAGATGTCGGAATGTGTACGTACCTTATTTTGGATCGCATCCCCTAAGTCATTGGACATCGCCCTTCTTTGTTTCTACCTTTTTTATGTTTCCACTCTTCGACAAGGGTTTCTATATGGTTCAGTGGATCTTGGTAAAACCTGTCCGGAGTCTCAGAACCGCGGCCAGTCGGGCGTATGGTGGTACGACAAATAAATCCCGTTTATCGTGTTGACCAAGACAACCGTTCAGGCAAACGGAACTGCTTACTGAGACCCATTCTAGCAGAGCGCCTTCGGCCCTGGGGCTGAGTGCAACTCACGAGACCTTGTATCAGGATAATCAGGTACACGAATGATGGAATGTGAAATACCTTGGTTTATCCTAACCGGCTTGTTGTGTATGATCGAAGTGGACTCTTGTTTACGTGCTTCGGTGGCACAGCGCACATAGAATGGGAAAGCAAGGTTTCAGCAGAAGGGGCCTGTTGCCGAGTTTGACGGAGCGCGAACATTGAAGGCTGTGTCATGGATAAGTTATTTGGGTTTGGTAAGGAATCATACCCTTTTATTGGACGATATGTTAGACAGCAAAAAGTATATCAAATATCCCACAGAAAAGGTAGTGGGTTTTACTGTGAACCCAACCGGAGTCACTGACACAATAATCCGAAATGTGTGGCTGCCAGCCCGAAGCCTCAGGGAGTTGGACATAGGTGCTTTAATGCTGGTGCTATGGCTTATAACAGGTGCGTTTGGAGACGCATCAGGCTTTCGGTGGGTTTCGATTCTATTTCGGCTGTATTGGACAACTCGCTGGCAGTCACAATCCACTGGTCGACGATCTGAATGTACCATTTTTATGGCTAACATTTTCTAACTCGCCCTCCCTTGAAGGTAGCATCGGGGCTTCCATGAATGTAGATGTGAGCAGGCATATCACCTGGAGAGAGCACCTAACTGCCCTTAGCTGCGGATGATAGTACGTTTTTTAGTTGTAGACCACCTTGCATTATGACTATTCCTAGTACAGGGTTCTGTTGCTTTCGTTTGTTTTCCCTTTTTGCCTACCTGGCATGGCTGAACTTTATGAGACGGAGTATCAGCCGTTGTAGCACTCAAAACGGACTATCACTCCAGGATTGCGGCTATTTTTGGTATTCAAAGTGTTCGGTGCATCGTCCAAGACAGCGTTTTAATGAAAGATTGGAGGCCTTATCCTTTCTGGCAATAGGTCCACTAGTGCGCACACTAGAACAGTAAGTAGGACTAACTGAAATAGGGTGTAACCTTTCACCAAAGCCTTCTCCATTTACAGGGCTTTTGATGTCTACGAGTGGTCGCTGTCAATCCTTAGGCCCTGCATAACTCGGCGTTCTAGGAATTCGAATGTTCTGAAATCTTTTCCGGCCACCTGAAATTCATATCTTTTTGTCCACAGGGATGCTTCGCGGGTGCTGAACTGCATTAACCTATGTATGTATTCTGGTCAGTCAGTCGTTCAACTGTAGAACCCTTTCGGTTCCTAGCTGCCATGCCACCCAAAGTAAGCACGAGGGCTGGGATACTGCCAGGTCACTCTGAGTTGGGCATGGAAAACAGCACTCTTTTCGGCAACACATGTCCCACCCAACGCAGCTTCTGGTGCTGGACACATTCTTCAATGGAAGTATCCGTTACACAACCGGAAACACGCTTTCTAACTGCCTCGTTACGGATTCGCTGACACCAACCCGCACGAGCTATGGTTCTGAGACGATTGTCGAACACCTGAAGACGTCTCAGTTCCGCTGCTTGAATAGGCCAAGTCTCACAGCCATACAACCAAACAGCCCGTACTGTAGCTTGATACACACGTCCCTTCAGATTCAGGGATAAACCATTCTGACGCCATAGGTGTCTCAAGTTAGCAAACGCGGCCCGAGCCTTGCAGATTCGTGCATTCACCTCATCTGTCACACTGCAATCAGAACTAATACAACTTCCAATGTGTAGGTCGGATTCGAACCACGGACCTTCCGGTCAGCAAATCCGCGCTCTAACCACTCGGTCCATCTCCCCCCCTATGTATTCTGGAGGGAAGTTGAATTACTAGGCGTGGCTCCTCAATGCATGATCAAAGTCTTGTTGTATGGCAGTGAAACACTAGTGTTCCTATCTCATGTTGCTGTCACTGATGATGGTGAAAATTCAGGTTGTTCACTCTAAAACCGATCGCAATTTTGTACTGAAGTTGTCCATCGGTAGCTGATTGTCAAATGGTCTGCTGGAGTCTGTGTCGTTTAAAGTTGATAATCTCGATAGAAGACGGTATGAACGCTTGTGACGAAAGCTCGTACCGGTTTGAAACAAAGTACATTCTGCACACAACTGAAGAAAGTTGTTCTACAAAGTCAAACCAGATCCAACCACCAATATGGGCTTGAGGACGCATATCACCCATCATATCACAGCACTCATATAACCTGCTAGAATGACGATACGGTGCTAATTGATGACCGAAACAGCCGTGAGAAGCTTCAACGGAAGCTATTTTTCTCAACTTCGGCCGCCGTCTGTGTGAGCGCATGTTGCAAAAGAAACTGCTTTGAGAAACATTGAGCCAGTCAACCGAGGAGCACAATACTACAGTTTGTTGGAATTCAGTCCCATGAAGCTCATTCAGCCCGGGTCTAAGCACACTTCCTAACTCCTACGCTACAGGCTATTGCACCGTGGTTCCCAGACACCTGAACACTAAATGCAAAAATGTGGGTTCCTCCCGAACGGTTCGAAGTTTATGACCGAAGTGAGTCTCTGTGTGTGTTTCGGAGAAACAACATACGTCGTTCGAAAGAGGGAGCAAAATCTTATAGAGAGGTGACTGTTAACCAATTCACCACAGGGTATGAACGTTGAAAGCCGCAATCTGGAAACTATTCATGAAATTCACCATGGGCTTGTTTCGGTTGTTATAGTGGACGAAATTTTAGATTCAGCATCGTTTAATTGGTTGAAGCTTAAGAAACCCGAATAACTCGGTTTAGGTGCTTGTGTAAGGGCGAATAATGCTTCACGTGTGTCCAGGCCGGTGAGAAGGATTTGGTTGAGATATCCCACCACGTGGCTTGGGCTTCCCTCCTAAACTAGAAGCTGGTAGGTGTGGGTCATAGGGAGAGCAAACGATGACCTGATACTGATTTATAGAGAAGCTTACTACTCAACCTGCATCAATTGTTCCCTCGCTTCTCCTTGAATGAGACGCAAAAGACAACGAAAGTGCCTTGTTAGAGAATCCTTTTAATGTGACGCAGAACCGGACTCACTGGCACATGTGACTTTTTGTTATAACACTGGTTA